GGCGGAGCTTGCCGACCCAGCGCTTGATTACAGGGTGGGAATGACAAATTCTGCGAAATGCCTATACTCTGATAGAATGTCGTTTTCTGTCGTCTGTGAATTTTTAATTTCAAAGCTTGCAAGCAGGATTTTGTGTTTTTCCTCAAAACACGAAAGAACATTTTGGAAGTCCAAGTGTTACTGTTCAGTAAGTCCATTTTAGCCGAATTATTTTTAAAGCGCTGTTTGTATCAACAGTATGTATGCCTCTTTATAGTTGTGTGAAATAGAGAATTAAGACCTACTGCTTTAAGACCTTCTCAGATTGCAACCATCAGCACACATAATTATTTTCACCCCATAAAATTTGCAGTGAACACTATAACCCTTCTGCTGTCAGTCACACTGATGATATTAGTAGCCTCTGTCACCATTAAACATGTCTTCAAAACAAGAAGATAGCATCCTTTCTCTCCACTTTTCTGAAGAAACTGAGCCATCTCTTTTAGATTTTTTTTTTTTGAGTTGGAGTCTCACTCTGTTGCCCAGGCTGGAAGGCAGTGGCACGCTCCTGACCACTGCAGCCTCAACCTGCTGGGCTCAGGCGATCCTTCTGCCTCAGCCTTCCAAGTAGCTAGAACTATAGGCACATGCCACCATGGCTGGCTAATTTTTTGATTTATTGTAGAGACGAGGTCTTGCCAAGTTGACCAGGCTGGTCTTGAACCCACAGACTCAGGCAATTCTCTCACCTCAGCCTCCCAAAGTGCTAAGATTATAGGTATGAACCACAGCTCCCGGCCTCTCTCTTAGATTTTTTAGTGCCATTTCTAGGGTCTTAGACCTAAAATACATTGCTAAGAAAAATTACCAGGTTTAATCTCTTTCTAAGTGCTATTGTTAGTTACCTTGTAATGGAATTCATTATTAGTCTAAGGTCAGTAGGCATTGTGAGGCCCAATATTCCTATGAGGAAGTACCTTGCCCTTTAGAAATTAGTTAAATGTCTTGTCTCCTCTCTGACTGCCATTCATGTCATCAGGACACTGCCCCTGACTCCTGGTCACAGTCTTAGCTCCCTTGGGGACTAACATTAAAACTAAATAAACTGCATGGTTTTCTGCCAAGAAGATATTCATTTACTCAACAGCTCCTTATTCTGTATGTTGATTTTGAAAGTTATATTTTGTGGCTTCTCAGAAGGAAGTTGGACTAGCTTCGCATATACACTTTTCAGAGTAACCCTCGGTAACCCATTCCTCTCCTGTCTGACTGGTTTTTCAGGCAGAAGTTAAAGACAAGTATACTTTTCTGCTTATGAAATGACAGTTGATTTTTAAGAGCTAGACCCACTCCAGCAACCTCAGGGAGGGGACTGATAGGAAGGGTGTCACGAGTCAGTGAAGGCAATGGATTTGAAGCTGGCCTTGTGGTGGCCTTGAGTGGCAGGGAGTAACGTACCCTTTGAAGATGACTAAGCTTCTCCCACCGTTTGCTTTTTCTCATCCTACTGCCAACTGATCTCTGTGCTTGCCAAGTTTCTGATTTCACGTGGCGTTGGTTTGCCCTGCGCCTGACTCTTTCTCATGGCACCCTTCTGCCTTGACTCTGCTGCTAAAAGACAAAACTCTTTCTTCTTAGTTTACATTTCTGGGGGATACTGTGGCCAGGCCAGTTTCTTTCTTCATTCAGGCCTAGAGATGACTTATCTGTGAGTTGACCGCCCGTTGGCACAGTAGGTACCCGACCCACTGACTGTGCCCAAGAAGAGGGGGCAAGGCCCAGGTGCTAAGCATGGTTCTCCCTACTTAGCTGGAGGTAGTCTCTGTACCACATCTCCAGAATAGGAGAATTAGTTACTTTTTTCCATGGTCCTCCATAAACTGCTTGTTACATAAAGCTGAGATAACTGGGGATTGTTTAGTGCTGTTTTCTTCTCTCTCTTTTTTTTGTTTTTTTTTGAGTTGGTGTTCCTACTCTGTTGCCCAAGCAGGAGTGCAGTGGCATATCACAGCTTCAAACTTCTGGGCTCAAGCTGTCTTCCTACCTTAGCCTCCCAAGTAGTTGGGACTACAGGTACACGCCAGCACATCCAGCTAATTTTTAAATTTTTTGTAGAGATGAGGTCTTACTATGTTGCCCAGACTGCTCTCAAACTATTGGGCTCGAGTGATCCTCCTGTGTTGGCCTCCCAAAGTGCTGGGATTACAGGTGTGAGCCACCGTGCCCAGCCTCTCTCATTTTTTTTTTTTTGAGTCAGAGTCTCACTCTGTTGCTCAGGCCGGAGTGCAGTGGCATGCTCATGGCCTCCCCAGCATCGACCTGCTGGGCTCAGGCGATCCTTCCACCTCAGTCTTCCAAGTAACCGGAGCTACAGATGCATGCTACCACACCTGGCTGAGTTTTTGATATATTGTAGAGATGAGGTCTCACCAAGTTCCCCAGGCTGATCTCAAGTCCCTAGGCTCAGGCAATCCTCATACCTCAGCCTCCCAAAGTGCTGGGATTACAGGCTTGAGCCACCGTACCCGGCCTCATTTTTTAAGAGATAAATTGCTAGGTAGGTAGGAAATCAGTGGATTTGTTACAAAGCAGACTGAGTTCTTGCCCTCAATTTTTGAATTGTGAAAAACTTCTATTTTAAATAGGATTAGCCCTTATACACATTGTGTTTCCTAAGTGATGGAGTCTGGATCTGTGGCCAATTGAGTTTTGTTTTAAGTGTGTGTTTTGAGCTGTGGTACATGCTCTAATAGTGTAAAAGGTGTTATATGCAACTTCACTAAAGGGGAAGACTCTAAGTAGAGGGTCTGTGTGTAATGATTATTGGGTTTCTATTGTGAAGGAATACAGATTTTTTTTTTTTTTTTTTTGAGCCCGAGTCTTACTCTGTCACCCAGGCTGGAGTGCAGTGGCAGGCTCAGCCACAGCAGCCTTAAGCTGCTGGACTCAGGTGATCCTTCTAACTCAGCCTTCCAAGTAGCTGGAACTATAGGCATGTGCCACCATGCCCGGCTAATTTTTTCATTTATTGTAGAGATGAGGTCTTGCCAAGTTGC